CAAAAAATGTCAAAACACCAGTTTTCGCACCAGTTACTATGCAATTATCTGATAATTTGCACTAGTGCAAATTATCGCGTAATTCAAATCTGATTGGTTCAAATCAACAATCAAAACCTGTCAATTTATTGTTGAAATACCAGTTTTGACAGATGTATGAAATTATCATAATAATGGATGCACGTCATCAATGACGTGTAAATTATTGCCAATTGCAGTTTGTAAGAAATCAAAATTCGTTTTCAACTCTGAGCGTATTTTCTCTTCTGTTTAACCCTAGTTAAAAAGAAATAAAATGCTGTTGGATCATCTAACAGAATCTGCCGATAAACTGGGATTTAGGTTGGTACTCATGGGTAATGTTGCCTTCCGCAAATCTTCGGTCATTGATTATAACAATTTGAAGTTTGTTGTCAGTTTTTAACGATTTGGGGTTGACAGTTGGGATATAATTTAAGTATACTTGCTATACAATTGTATTAATGGAAAATGGAATTTCGGTTTTTTGATATTAGGATTCTTGTCAATTTATTAATAAAAATGTAACCTGGGAAAATAACAAACTTTACTAGACATGATATGTCAAAGTAAAACTAAATTGATGCGGCAACATTGCGACATGCCAACGTCATAAATTTTGATGACGTGCAACCATTATTTTATTAATTTCCCTATAACAAACCACAGCACCCACAATTCCAAAATTCCATCCAAGCACTTTCTAAAAACAAACCTCGAAACAAACTATAGATAATAAATTTATTTTCCCCTCGATTTTCCCCAAATTCCAGTAAAAATATTTTTTTTAAAAAAAGTGAGGTTAAGAATTAGCAGTTGTACAGATTGGTAGTAATGAAATACACGATCAAACCACAACTTAAAATACATCAAAATTAGAGCAAGTTCTGTTTCGTGGATTGATACACTTGGACAAACTGGGTTTCCATAAAGGTTCTTCGGAATTCAGGACAAAGGAGTCAAGAAATCTGCACAAAAATCCGGACTTTGCCGAAAAATAATTTAAAGGATGAAATTATGTCTTTTTTGTCCTTATGAGCAACACTCAAATCAAATTTGTATTACACACGATACATAAGACATCGGAATTGGCTTTTCTTTTTTTAATGGAAGGAAACGCTTTTCTTCCGTTTTGGCATCATTAAAATATACTCAATTTTATCTAATATTATAACAATAACATTGTGTTGCGCGCAATAGCGTAGGGCCTACACTAATCATAGTTTAAACGGACTTTGGAATCCTGGGATTCACCGATACCGATAGTACTTATCGCGTGAATTCCTGATTAAAATCAACCATGAGTCAATATATTTCCATCTCACTCTATGTCATAATCAGTATAGCAAAAAAAGACGATTCCTCGAACTCTAACCAAAATTTGACGGCGGAGTGACCCCCGAGTATAGAAATAGGGTACGTTCGAAAATTCTTCTGTCGGTATTGGTAGAGATTTGTATCGTAACGATTAAAATATTTAGGTATTGACAAAGTCAGGTTTCCACGATCTTCGAGTTTTCCGGACATTGTTCCAACCCAAACATGCCTGGGTAAATCCGGACTTATGGAAACCCTGGACAAACATAAAACTAGTAAAGGTAATATATATTTTTTAAATTTGCCTAGCGTGAGTCAAGCTTAACAACAAAAAGTCTCTTCTGAAAAACTTAGGTTAAACAGCTTTTGTCAATGTCAAAGCTGAACAAAAGTAAATGCAACATGTTTTTATGTTATATGATTGGTTTAAATATGACACTGACTTGACTTTTTTTGTCATTGTTGAGGTGATAAAAAAGGTCGATTCACACAATACAACGTAATTAGGCAATCTCAATCACGTGATTTTATAATGGCCGTTCGGGTCAAATATTGCAGTGACAAGCCGGTGACGTTCATAAGGAGAGCATTTGTGTTCTGACCCTTGTTGCTTTCGAAGTGAATTTTATGTGTTTCTACGTATTTTCCTTTGGTTTTGGTCATATTGTTGCTTTCATAGTGAATTTTATAGTTTTTTGTTAGTATGTCTACGTATTTTTTAGTGTCCTGGCCTTTGTTTACAAAGTGAATTTTATAGTGTTTATAATGTTTCTACGTATTTTTTAATTTAATAATAAATTCTGAGATGGAGAGTCATATCTTAAGGTATAAATATTAAGGGAAAATCGTGCCTTTGTTAGATCCTTTCTTTTAATTGCAGTAATCCATAAAGCCCTGCGTTGTTTTGATAATTCACTTTTGTAGATCAAAAGCTGATGATTTAAAATAGCAGGAACTGAATAAAATTTCACATTAGCCCTGTTACCTCAACTTCCACACCCAATTACGATGCAAATCGCTGGTATTTTATTTAACACAATACCTAAACACACACAAGAAAACACAAAATCCGATAATTTAAATCTTGACGTTTGTCCAGAATGTGACAGAAGTCATTGGCTTGAGGCTTGACCCAATGCTTGACCTGGAGTGCGTTCAAAGACGGCAATGCTAATGCCAAAACCTACTATTCCCTTTCTACCGGCGATGCCAAATCTGGTGTGAATTTGCTGGAACGCCAAATACCGTTTCTCAATATGCAATCCAAACCACGTGACATTCAATATGGCGTGGCGACCATAAATGGACCAAAAAACACAAAAAATATCTAGTTTCTGCCCGACTTAATAGTTAACGTACAGTTAACAAATATTTTATTGAATAATCAAACTCGAAGCTGCAAACAAACAAAATAATTGAAATATGCATGAAAACCCATATTCAAAACTAACTTGCCTGGCCGCCACGCCATATTGAATTTGGTCTCATCCAATCAAAATTCGTATAACCATTTCTAGACTCAGTTGAAAGAGCCTCCAAAAGTTACTTTACCGCGGCCGATTTGGAACGTGTAAAGCCAACTGTTTTTGGCACGCTGGAGCCGAACTTGAACGCAATATGCCAATTTTGGCTCGGCTTTAGCCGTTTTTGAACGCAGCCCCGAACTTCCATATTGAATTTCGTTTTTGACAGGTCGGTAGATTGCCTAATAGGAAAATGCGTACCAGTTTTATGATTGGCAAAGTGTACATGTATTTATTTAAGGTCAAATACACGGCTAATATTTCTGTTCGAAACTTATGTATTTCTTTCTGTAGTAACTACATGTAGAAATACACGAAAAAATACACGAATATGTAAAACGGGCTCTATTGTATATTATAAATACTTACAGTCGTACATTTTTCGCTATTTTAGGTAAATCAGTATTTTCTGTACAACGGATTTTTTATCAAATATGACAATCCCTGTCATTGCCGACAGTGTAGCTGGTGAGCCCGTTTTACAATAGGAAAATAGGGTGTCCTATTATTTGTGCTCACCACTGTACATTTTCACAAAACTTTCTTTCACTGCAATATGACACTTCACTTATTTTATTGCGAATTTGCGAATGAATACACCTCTCTGGTACTTGGCCTGTTATGTGATGCAATGCTTTTAAAAGCTCGTAACCCGATTCACACGTATTCTTTTAGTATTGTCAAGGGATTATCAGTATTGTCGGCGAGTATTGTGAGTACTGTAGAGATACTGTTAAGTATTTTTGACGGATTTTTGGTATTGTTTCAGTATTGTCAGTACTGTAGAGCTGTTTTGAAAGTATTGTGAGTAATTTTAGGCATTGTGACAATTGCTATGAAAATACATGGTATTTTTACAGACCTATGATGGTATTGTTTAGGTATTGTAGCTACTGTGAATTGATTTGTACAACTACTGTCAGGAGGTGTCGACCCCTCGGTAATTCTTATCCTAGTAGAGGACTACAATCCCTGAAAATTTCAGCTCATTTGGACTTATAGTTCCAGAAATAAAATCGTGTTAAGCAATTTCGGCCAAAGTTTTTGTGAAAATAAGAACATTTCCACCCGAGTTTTGGGCACAAATTGTACTGGAAGTTATAGGCAGTACCAATATACGCCGTTTGGAGAACTCCATTTGACTTGCAAATTATTTTGAGGTTGGTTTGAAGGGTTAAAACTAATAATTTGCGATTCATCGAAAAAAGGGTTTTTTAGAAAATATGGACATTTCCACCCTAGTCTCGGATACAAATCAAATGGTACTGGAAGTTATAGGCAGTACCAATATACTGTTCAGGAAACCTCATTTGTAAATTACTTTGAGGGTGGTTCAAGGGGGTGAAAGTGGTGAACTAATAATTACGATTTATTGAAAATAGGGTTTTTGTGAAAATATGGACATTTCCACCCTAATCTCGAGTACAAATGGTACGGAAAATTATAGGCAGTACCAATATACACCGCTTAAGAAAACCTCATTTGACTTGCAAATTTCTTTGAGGCTGGTTTAAGGGGTTAAAACTACTAATTGCGATCATCGAAAATAGTTATTTATGATATAAGTGCTAAAAGTGACATTTTATTTTGTGAAAAGGGAAGTTTGGTATACGACGCCGAAGGCGGAGTGTTCCATCTCTTTGAACAAAATAAAATCACTTTTAGCACGAATATCATACACTAATTTTTCTACAAACGCACTAAAAGTGATCACTTTTAGCACTCAGTGCTAAGAGTCATCACTTTTAACACCAGTGTCATAAAATGGCATTTTAGACACTGGAAGCATGCGTTAAAAATGACACTTTTAGTGCCGTTTGTAGGAAAAAGGGTTTATGTGAGGATATGGACATTTCCACCTTAGATTCTGGCTTCAAATCTCAGAATAATTTAGTGTATGGAGTTTGGGGGGCCCTAAATGATGATAACACAAAATCTCAACACAAAAAAAAAATTTCATCATTTCATTTTATGATTTAGATTTTTGAAAACTTTGAAAAGTCATAACTTTTATTTTTTCATAGATAGAAAGCTGAAATTTTCAGGGATTCTTATTCTAGTGGAAGACTACAATCCCTGAAAATTTCAACTCATTAGGAAAGACAAAATTGCATTGATGATTGTGGAATTTATTCAACTTACTGACAATTCCCAAATGTTCTTGCACATCCCTACCGACATCAGAAATGTCCCACATGGCCATGAAAGCGCTGCAACAAGTTTGAGGCCTAGTACCAGGCCTTACATATGGTAAGTAGGAAAAACTGTAATGGTGCGCTATGGCTGCCATGCACATTTCAATGCAAATAAGGAAATCTTGTAGTCGAGTCGCTAAGGATACTCCATCTGTGTTGGGTTCAGACGTACTTATAGCTCCAGTAAATACGAAAAATGCTATAATAACTCCTTGACTGTGGAAAGTTTTATTTATTATTTGCGTGTAAATAAATAACTTGAATTACTTACAAAAATGAGAAAAATACTACAGCCTTGATGCACAAAAATTTGGGCAATGGTTTCATTGGTTGCAATTCGGCTTTGCTTGCCTTATAGAACATTATTAAACAATACATTGCTGTTGATTGGGAAACATTATTTATTAAAATTAAATAAGGAAAGGCCACATTTCCTTTGAATTCGCCATCGCCGTAAACATGAAATATTTTACAAATACTACAAAATAATAATATAAAAAATGTAATATTTTGTTAAATAACTTACAAAGAAATGGCAGTTGTTAAAGGTCTCATTACAGTGTATTGAAGAATACCATGTTTACAAATATGTACAAAAGGCCTAAAATAAATCAATCAATTATAAAATACAATTAATTATACTTATTATTACCTTCCCATTTCCCAATCGGGCAAACAACACATGGGAAAAATATGTTTTACTTGAGGCTTGCATTCTAAACTTGCCTCCAAATCCATTTCCATATTTAAATAATTCAGTAAATACTTCATAAAGTTGTATATCACATAAGCTTCGTAACATTCTCTTGCACTATCCACATAAACTGAAGCACTTGGGTAAGTTAAACCCAACCACTAAAAATATAAATAATTTTATAATAAATTATCCAACCATAATAGTAGTGATCTTGCTATTAGTCAGTGACAAGAGGCTTGTTTATAATGTATCCACCAAATGGAGCAATGACCATGCAGTCATAACAACCAAGTTCCAAAGAAAAAGAAATTTGTAGCAAGGAACCAAAATAAGGTAAACAGAATCTCGTGGTTCAAGACTTGCACATTTCTAAGTTAAGGATGTGTAATTGTCTAGCTACTAACTGCACCCTTAATGATGAGAAAGAACAGTTTCAGAGTGTTTTCACAACAAAAGATCTAACCCCAACTTGGATCCTGATACATTCTCTGCTAATTCATTTGAAATTAATGAGAAATTGGAGCCTGCACTCAAATCAATGAAGCCGGATTCTAATCTAGGAGAGGATGAAGTCCCTGCTATTTTCCTGAACAAGTTTTGTCATACAGCCTTGATGAACAATCTTCTTGACAGGGCAAACTACCAAGTGAATGGAAAAATGCAATTGTAGTAGGTACCTATTTACAAGACAGGTAATAACAAACATCTGCCTGAAAACTATAAGCCTATTTAGAGATTCAGGAAAATCTGAAGGAGATCCAGGGAAATCTGAGGAAATTTATGGGAGATGTGAGGGATATCTGGGGAAATCTGATGAAAATCTCACTAAATGAGACTGTACGCGTGTTCAGAATTAAATATTCTTTTGAATGAGAATATTCAAGGTGATATCATGTTACCAGGTTTTCCACTGAAATAAGAGAAAATGCACATATTTTGTTAATGAGAAGACTTTGAGAGTTTTATTCTGGCTGTGTACTTATGGTAATATCAAGGGGTGTCTTATGGTCGGAAATAGGTGTACAAATCTCAAAATTATTTCCGAAAATGTTGAGAAATTACACAAATTTCCTGTAAATTGTCATAAATTATGTTAATTCTCAAAAATTATAGGAAATTTAAAGAGTTAATTTTAGTGGCATGTAGACGTAATAATTAAAAGTTGATGAAAAATTTTCTTGTCTCGACTTTGATTTGAACCTGTTTCTGGAAAACTTTAAAGAAGAGGACTTCTGAAAAGTTGTACAATTAGGACATGAGTTGGACTTTACATTTTTGTGACCACACTTATAACAAAAAAGTTTACGTTTCAAAATACAGTTGTCATGATAGTGGTTTGGCATGCCACAATTCCAACAAGTGATTGCACTGCATTGCAGCATTACACTGGAAATGTAGGGGTCTTGGGTTCAAATCCCAGTCGAGACAAGAAAAAATTTTCATCAACTTTTAATTATTACGTCTACATGCCACTAAAATTAACACTCTTTAAATTATATAACAGACGACAAAAAAAATTTTAAAAAAATTACAGGAAAAGTTTAGAAATTTTGGGGAATATCAAGAACTGTTAGGAAATTATAGAAAATTTACTGAAATTATTATAGGAAATTGGGAAATTTTCACCAATCTTTGAGAATTTTTGTATTTCGAATATTGTTTAGTTCCTGTTCAGTGTTTTGTGAATAAAAATATCTAAAGTATGTTTTTTTTTTTAAAGATAATTCCCCAAGTCAAAAATTTAGTAACTTTAACTTGTGCAGCAGTTGCAGCACAAGCTTTTTCTACATACAAAATTTGGAGGCATGGACAATTTTACATTGTATTGCCAAGATAATGTAATTTTGACTTTTATCATTTAAAAAAAAAACAATCTTTAACTGCTAACAAAATAGAGGTAAGTAAGTAGGTAGGTAAGTACCTATAGTTTATTTTTTCCCAAGATAGATTTTGGCATTGTCAACTTTGAAACATAAACAATGCCGCCTATTGGTCGCTATTGTAAAACTGATGTCAAACTGCAGAAACACTTCATTTTGCGACCAATCAGGGTCAAGCGTTATTGTTCATGTTTCAAAGTTTACAATGTCAAAATCTATCTTGGGAAAAAATAAAGTGTCTGTATAAACACATTTCATACACTATAGAAGTCAAGCTTCATGTTGTTATTTTCTACTGGAAAAAATATAAAATTTTGGGAAAATGAGCTTCTAATATTCCTCATTAAATGCAGAAAGTTTCAAATTTTTCTCTGTCTGTTCTAGTTTTCCAGAAAAACTGTGAGACTATATTCTCAATTAATTCAGTTACCTATTGTTAGTCGATTTTCAATATTTTGCATGTTGTTATTTTCCACTGGAAAAATTTGAATTTCTGGGAAAATGAGTTCCTAACTTTCCTCTTTACATGTGAAAAGTTTCAAATTTTTCCCTTTATCAGTTTTCCAGGAAAACTTTGAGCTGTGTGAGACTGTATTTTTAAATAATTCAGTTTTTGCTCGAGTTTTTGTAAGCTGTTTTCCAAGATTCTTCATGGTGTTATTTTTCACTGGAAAATATTCTAAATTTTGGGAATATGAACCTCTAACCTTCCTCTTTACATGCAAAGAGTTTCAAATTTTTCCCTTCACTAATTTTCCAGGAAAACTTTGAGCTGTGTGAGACTGTCTTTTAATTAATTCAGTTTTTGTAGGCTGTTTTCCAAAATACGCCACATTGTTATTTTCCAATGGAAAAATTTGAAATTTTGGGAAAATGAGCTCTTAAATTTGGTCTCTGCATGCAAAAAGTTTCAAATTTTTCCCTTCACTAGTTTTCCAAGAAAACTTTGAAATGTATGGACTCTATTTTCAAATAATTCAGTTTTTGTAGGCTGATTTTCAAGATTCTTCATGTTGTTATTTTCCACTGGAAAAATTTGAAATTATGGGAAAATGAGCTCCTGAGTAACCTGCCTCTTCACATGCAAAAAGTTTCAACATTTTTCCTTAATTAGTCTTCCAGGAAAACTTTGAGCTGTGTGAGACTGTATTTTTAAATAATTCAGTTTTTGCTCGAGTTTTTGTAAGCTGTTTTCCAAGATTCTTCATGTTGTTATTTTTCACTGGAAAATATTTTAAATTTTGGGAATATGAACCTCTAACCTTCCTCTTTACATGCAAAGAGTTTCAAATTTTTCCCTTCACTAATTTTCCAGGAAAACTTTGAATTGTGTGAGACTGTCTCTATTAATTCAGTTTTTGTAGGCTGTTTTCCAAAATACGCCACATTGTTATTTTCCAATGGAAAAATTTGAAATTTTGGGAAAATGAGCTCCTAAATTTGGTCTCTGCATGCAAAAAATTTCAAATTTTTCCCTCCACTAGTTTCCCAGGAAAACGTTGAAATGTATGAGACTCTATTTTCAAATAATTCAGTTTTTGTAGGCTGATTTTCAAGATTCTTCATGTTGTTATTTTCCACTGGAAAAATTTGAATTTCTGGGAAAATGAGTTCCTAACTTTCCTCTTTACATGTGAAAAGTTTCAAATTTTTCCCTTTATCAGTTTTCCAGGAAAACTTTGAGCTGTGTGAGACTGTATTTTTAAATAATTCAGTTTTTGCTCGAGTTTTTGTAAGCTGTTTTCCAAGATTCTTCATGGTGTTATTTTTCACTGGAAAATATTCTAAATTTTGGGAATATGAACCTCTAACCTTCCTCTTTACATGCAAAGAGTTTCAAATTTTTCCCTTCACTAATTTTCCAGGAAAACTTTGAGCTGTGTGAGACTGTCTTTTAATTAATTCAGTTTTTGTAGGCTGTTTTCCAAAATACGCCACATTGTTATTTTCCAATGGAAAAATTTGAAATTTTGGGAAAATGAGCTCTTAAATTTGGTCTCTGCATGCAAAAAGTTTCAAATTTTTCCCTTCACTAGTTTTCCAAGAAAACTTTGAAATGTATGGACTCTATTTTCAAATAATTCAGTTTTTGTAGGCTGATTTTCAAGATTCTTCATGTTGTTATTTTCCACTGGAAAAATTTGAAATTATGGGAAAATGAGCTCCTGAGTAACCTGCCTCTTCACATGCAAAAAGTTTCAACATTTTTCCTTAATTAGTCTTCCAGGAAAACTTTGAGCTGTGTGAGACTGTATTTTTAAATAATTCAGTTTTTGCTCGAGTTTTTGTAAGCTGTTTTCCAAGATTCTTCATGTTGTTATTTTTCACTGGAAAATATTTTAAATTTTGGGAATATGAACCTCTAACCTTCCTCTTTACATGCAAAGAGTTTCAAATTTTTCCCTTCACTAATTTTCCAGGAAAACTTTGAATTGTGTGAGACTGTCTCTATTAATTCAGTTTTTGTAGGCTGTTTTCCAAAATACGCCACATTGTTATTTTCCAATGGAAAAATTTGAAATTTTGGGAAAATGAGCTCCTAAATTTGGTCTCTGCATGCAAAAAATTTCAAATTTTTCCCTCCACTAGTTTCCCAGGAAAACGTTGAAATGTATGAGACTCTATTTTCAAATAATTCAGTTTTTGTAGGCTGATTTTCAAGATTCTTCATGTTGTTATTTTCCACTGGAAAAATTTGAAATTATGGGAAAATGAGCTCCTAACCTTCCTCTTCACATGCAAAAAGTTTTAACATTTTTCCTTAATTAGTTTTCCAGAAAAACTTTGAAATGTGTGAAATTGTGTTTTCAATTAATTCACTTTTTCTAAGTAAGTTGATTTCCAAGATTTTTCATGTTGTTATTTTCCCCTGGAAAGATTTGAAATTTTGGGAAAATGATCTCCTAACCTTCCTCTTCATATACAAAAAGTTTCAATCATTCCCTCAATTAGTTTTTCAAGAAAACTTTGAATTGTGTGAGATTGTACTTTCTATGGGGCAAACCACCTAGGAATTCTTTGCCAAAAATATGGGAAATTGAGATATAGGGAATTTGAAGAAATTTATGGGGAATTTGGAGACATTTTCAGTGAATTTGGAGGAATTTAAAGGAAATTGTACAGTCATGATGTCACTGAGGTTCACATTCTTATTATAAGAAACACTAATAATTGGAAATTTTTAAAAAAATCTAGTTTTGTGTTAAACGTTGGACATTCATTTCTATCAAAGAAATTCTCCCAAAATTTCACTCCATGATTTACAGGTTCAAATTAAAAAGAATAGTCGGTTTAATCTTCAAGGAAAAACTTTTTGGCATTGGATCCGCTTAGACTTGAATGGATTTGAATGCTACATTCAAGATACTGTTCATATTGGGGCCAAATTAGAATATCGCCTACTGAGAAAAAAATTATTGGTCATTAGAGAATGGAGATTACATAATTTCAGTAGATCATTTTAATATGGAAATTGGAAAACACCAAGGAAAACATAATAAAAGTGAACATTTATTAGTTAGTTCTGGTATTATTTCAGTAGATATGATGAACTTTTTGATACAAGTTTTAAGTTTATATATATTTGAATCCAAATATATTGTATCCTAGCATCATAATCATAATATATAGAAAAAAAGGCTGAACGTTGAAAAAATGGTTTACTTATTTTCAAATTATTGAGAAGGGGATTAGACACATTCGTATGGCCTACTTAGCCTATGCTGAGGTTCAGATTCAATTTATTGTTTATGGTCCTGTAAAACTATTCAACTTTCAGGAGAAGGTTCATTCTCGGGTCCATTTATAATAAAAAGAAATAATATACCCTCAATATTGTGAAACAATATACATAAGGTCCGTTTCACCAGGGTTCATACTTGACCTTGAAACTTGAAGAAAAGGGTTGTCTTAGATTAATTCATATGACACCTTCAATTTTTTGACAAATTAAAATGAATGACTTTTGGTTTAAGAACCGACGAACGTTTTTGATGTCATTGATTTGTTTCAGTCAATTTTTATTTATTAAACAAGGAAGGCAAATGCTGGTGGCAAGTACAAACCCTGGTGAAACAAACTTTACCTAAGTTGTTCGAAATATCAAATATCAAATGCAAGTTTAGGTTAGTTTAAACCTCAGTTTAAACCTCGGTTTAAACCTCTGCATTCTGGATTATTGGAAACCAATCATTAGTTTTAGCTCTCAAGTAAACTAACCTAATTTTGCATTTGATCCTACTTGATAAACTGCTCTTGTGTTTTAACACTAAGGCCCAGTTGTACAATCCTGGTTCAAAACAGAGCTTAGCTAAACTCGACTGGTACTTAAACTTTCCCATTTAAAATGCATTGCTGTCAAAATTGATAGAATTTTATAAATATCTGACAGCAATGTATTTTAAATGAGAAAGTTTAAGTACCAGTCGAGTTTAGCTAAGCTCTGTTTTGAACCAGGATTGTACAACTGGGCCTAAGGCTCAGTTGTACAATCTCGGTTCAAAACAAAGTTTAACTAAACTCGACTGGTACTTGAGCTTTCCCATTTAAAATACATTGCTGTCAGCCAATAATCAAATTCTATCAATTTTGACAGCAACGCATTTCAAATGGGAAAGTTCAAGTACCAGTCGAGTTTAGCTGAACTCTGTTTTGAACCAAGATTGTACAACTGGACCTTAAGGCAGGTTTATTCACTTTTTGATAAACCATCAGGTAATCCAATCTGACCGTTAAAATGCAATTTGTAATCCCATTGGTTGGCCAGTTATTCCTTGATCAATAAGATTATGAAATGGGTAAACTTATCTTATAGATAGTTACCAGCAAGCTTATCTGAAGATGAATAAACCGAGCCTATGTTAAAGATTTTAAAAAAAATAAACTTATCACAAGCAATTATGAGGATTTTCAGGGAATTTGTAAGAGGCATTTGTAATTTGTGGGAATTTGCAGGGAACTTAGAGGAATTTTGGGAAATTTTGTGTAGTAAATTCCTCTTTGAGGAATTGTTTGCACAACATGCATGTGCAGTTCGCTGTTTGGCTAGCCAGATTATACATATTTCAGCAAAAAAATGTTCATTTCTACATAAATGTAAGCAGTAAATATTGTGGAGATGTTCGGAAATTTTGGAAAGAAATGAAAAATCTCTCAAAAATGTTTAAAATTATCAATTTTTGTTTCAGAAATGTCAGAATTTTCATAGGAAATCAGTTAATATTCAGGAATTTTAAGAAATTATTCAGGAAATTCCATAAATTATTCAAGAAATTTTAGAAATTATTGGAAATACTTGAAAAAATTCTGAATACCTATTCAGGAAATTTTGGAAATTATGGGCAATATCTGGAAAACATTTCCAAAAAGGAAATAAGTGTTCAAAATTTAAGAGCGTGAGACACCCCTCGGTTAATATACTATGAAATCCCTGAAAAATTAAGAGGATCCAGCTAAATCTTGGCAGATTCAAGGAAATCTTAAAAAATATTATGGAAATCCCAGCTAAACTAGGGAAATCTGTAGATACTTTTTGCATAAAAATAGACATTTTATTAATACAATAGTCTCATGGGTTGAATAATAATAATAATAATAAAACAAAGTACAGATTTAATTAACAAACTTACTGCATTGAGGGCATATATGGGCACCATCCATAGGATCCTAAAACTGAAAAATTACCACAAAAATTAATAGCAAATAAATTTGTTACCTTATAATATATTTTTGTAATTTCGGTTGTGTATAATGTATAACATGTTGAATGATTTCCCATAGGGAAATCGGTATGGCGACCCCCACGAAAACTCCAGCAATCAACACTTCAAGATCGTGCCTGTTGAAACCGTCCTGCAAAGACTTGATCAGAAATAGGGGCACCAAAACTAGGGCTGCTAAAGCGTAGGCCCCGATAAAAAAGGGCCTGATCCAGAGTTTCCATCTGGCAAAACAGTCTAGACATTTTTCGTGGCACATTTTTGGAGTTTTCACATAGTTTTTGGTTGAATATTTACGTTTTGATAGGGTTCATTATCTATATATGTAGATTATTGAAATTGTTTTTAATTTTTTGTTTACTAATATGACTTTGACAATCAGCAATCAGCTGTTTATTTTAGATAAATTCTTATCGATAAACGACAATTCGTATCGTATCGATATGGACCTTGGCGTATCGAATTAGATGTATATTTATCGTTTCCATAAAAATCTTCTGGTCAGGTCTGGCAAGGCAACAAATGTATAAGTTTTCTGTACACACATGGCACAGCATATACAAAAACAATCAGCAGGCTAACTTGAGTGACAGCCCGTGTAATAAAGGAATTCATCTTCAAAATGTCACTAGCGGCCATTTTGGGATACGAAACAGGGCCTGATTAACGATAATTTAGGTTTTTTCTTTCCTGTGACAGAGTCGTATTGGTTTTAACTAAACTAATTTATTATTACTTACGTATAATAATGTTTATAATTACTAATTTATTATTATTATTGAATATATAAGAATGATAACAGATAACACTAAAAATGACAACACAAATATATCAAAATCATTTTGAAAATCATAGCTAAAATTCCGCTCTACACCGCACGCCTATGACCTCCGTCAGAAATAAACAAATAAAATAAAATTTCGGCGCTCCTGCCGTTTATACAGACAGTTTCCTTGTTTATGGCGCATAAAGTCTCTAGAGTATATTACTATCTTAAAACCGAACCTGCCACCGCCACTGCTAATAATTTTCTTCTGTCCATCGTGCGTGAACGACTGAAGATAAATATGGGATTCACATAGTGTGTGGGCAAAACAGCTCTACGATTTAGCACGACTTTCCGAATCGCAGTGATTCGAACGAATGAAAAATAACGGAATGTGGGGGCCTTTAGACAAACAGGGCCTCGCCAAACCACTCTGCCCCCAGGTCCAAAATCTGAAGTTACGCCACTGCTTCTAATCTTATGCATTCCATACCTATTTTAATAAAAGATTGTTCGACTCTCGACAATGCTTCAATATTAGCCCTTATTTCGCGAAAGTGAAAATTAATCCTTTCTACTAATATTTCCTCAGTTTTATTATTGCGTTAAAGCTAGTCCGTCCCTGGCAAACCAGATTGGTCAAGTGTGTTTGAGAGGGTCCATTTTAGGGAGTCTTACCTAGTATCCATCATATTAGAAGAAAAAAAATTACACGAAGTCATGGGCGCCGCCAGGATTAGTTTCAGGGGGGTGCATACAGGCAGTGGCGGCGCGTTAAGTGATTGGGAAAGCTATATGATGTTTTCACCTCGGCAATTTAATATTTTTTTCGGGATAGGTATCAAATCGTAGAAATGAAAGAAAGGACATCGCACACATCTTATGGGTTTTCGGGGACCGGTCGATTTTTTTTAAAATTTGGTATGTTGTAGTACTAGTGAAAATAAGTATTTTTCATCATTGCGCAAAATCTCTAACTATACAGGGTGACCCAGTAAAGTAGGTTCGAAAATCATAAACCAAGCCTTTCTATTATCGGTATTAGCGCACCTTGCAAGCTAAATATCGAGATTTTTGTTCTCGATTTCGCAAATAAATAGTCAGATAAGCCTAATATACTATACAGGGTAGCTGAGCTAGCGTATTTTTTTAGAAATCGTGCCCTATTTTTAGAAATAGTGTTATCAAAAAGGTTGCGCTGGATTTTATTTAGCTGTAATTTTTTTATTTATTGTCCGATTTAAAAAAATGTGGTATCAAAATAAAGCCTATATAACAGGGATGTCATGAAATCTGAAAAAATTAATACACCTAAATTAAGGGGCGGTTCCTCAATTGCGAGTAACTCTAGGGGTTAACTAACCCGGTGTTAATTTCAACCTTGCAGGTTAACTGAGGATTGTGTTTCTCAAGCATCCACTGTAGGTGGAGTTAATAAACACTGGGTTAAGCAATAGTTGGTAGCATTATTGTTTACCAAAATGGTGATCCTAACATATTTTTGATTGGTCGAAAGCAGTCACGCATGGGTCGATCGTCAAATTAGCCCATTCACAAAACTTTTTGAAGTTTGTTGTTAAGTTAATGATAAGTTCGAGTATTGTTTTTGGCGCACCGTTTTTTCATTACAATTTGTTAATTTTTGAAGAGCGTGGTTAATGCAGTGTGTGTAGTCAATAGTCATGGAGAAGAAAGATATCGCAAGAGGAAAAAACTTCCTTAAATTAGAAAAAATAATAATAATCAAGCTATAATATAAGCGAAATATAGGGTGCACGAGGTCAGACATGAACTTTTAATCCTTTGTAGAGAAATCCTAGTCATCGTATTTCTCGAAAGGATTAATCCTTTGGCGGATTATATGAGGCGTTTTTCCTACGAAATTGTAGAAATCTTCATCTTCATCAATCAATCCATATATTTCTATTTTGAAAAAAAAATATTACCACAAAATTGACAAATCACGATCACGAATCATCAGGTTATCTCAAAGGGTAAATCCATAAATCCATTAATCGCTAAACCCGCAATATCATCAATAGTGAGCCAATTTAACCCAAGGTTACACCAAAAGTTATAGCTAACTCGCTGTGGAGAAACGTTTACCCTGGAGTTATAATCAACCCGGAAATGACTCGCTATTGATAAACCGGCCCTAATATAAGTAACGTATTTGATGGATACTTCACATTATTCTCATGTCGAGCGTAACTAAAATACCTAACAACGCGATAACTTTACATGTGCAGTATGTGCCCAATACTGGATTCCCTCCATCCAGCCCAGGGGAGAACAAAAATGATACAAACAGAAAATCTCTGCTTACTCATCTTGTGAGCCCCGAAAATATTTAGATATAGGTATTCGGAAAGTTTTAGTTCATGAATACCTACTCAACAGTGAGAATAGAAAAATTAATATAATTTTCATATAAATCGACTTAAGGCCCACCCCACCACCCCTAAGTTGGAGGTTTTCTCTTTGAATCCTTTCATGTGGGGCATTTTCAATATTTTGCACTAGTCACAACATTCTGTGTTAAACACAGATTTCAAATGTCCATCCAACATGTCTTTGTAATCTTACGAGTATTATTTGCTTCCTTAGATGTAAATTATTGACGATGTCTGGACAAAAAAGGCGATATTTCACACAAATTCTGAGATTTGTCATTTTTTCAGATTTCATGACATCCCTCTGTGATGTAAGCTTTATTTTGAGACCAGACTTTCTAAAATCAGAAAAAATTGGAAAAGTTACGGGCAAATTAATTCCAGCACGACCTTTTTCGTAACACTATATTTAAGAATAGTGCAGTATTTCTAAAAGAATACGTAAGGTTAGCCAGCCACCCTGTATAATATATTAGGCTTATCTAGAATATTTATTTGCGAAATAGAAAAAAAAATTCCGATATGTAGCTTGCAATGCGTGCTAACATCAATAAATGAAAGGCTTGGCAATGATTTTCGGACCCACGTTACTGGGACACCCTGTATAGTTAGAGATTTTGCGCAATGATGAAAAATACTTATTTTCACTAGTACTACAACATACCAAATTTTAAAAAAAATCGATCGGTCCCCGAAAACCCATAAGATGTGTGCGATATTCTTTATATCAAGGAACTAGAAATTAGGTAAATTCGAAATTCTCGCCATTCTATAGGTTGATTGCATGCGAAAAAAAAAAACGTGAAACGCCGTACACGTGGTAGAAGTGAAACTTCTTAAAAACCGAATGAGGGAGATTGAAGGTGCGAGAGAGAGAAAGACAGAGAATTTCAAAAGAAATACCTACAACAGTACAGTGTGCTCTTTTTATCTTGATAACAGTTTAAGCTGTCGTAATGTCTTTATTTTTGAAGTTATTTAAATAAATAAAAAAAGCACAGGACACAAATATGTAATGTATAAATAACGAAAATAATCACAAAACGCAATGATAATAGTATAACAAAAGGAAGTCGCGCATCTATAGTAACGTGACATCACAATAGTATCGGCGCTGATCAATAATAGGCAATCCTTTTTACGCTTATATAATCTTTGGTTTGTGTCAGTCAATAGCTGTCTTTCTCCGTCTCTTTACGTTTACCTTTCTTCTCTCTCGAGTAACGAAATTTCCCCATAACGCGTTTTTCAAATCACTCTACATTAGTTGCATTCCTTTCACACCTAAGAGGAGCTCCGGAACAGCTCCTGGGCGCTACGCGGTTATTCCTTTCGAAAAGTGTTTGTTGCTACCCGCTTCTCTCCCTTTAAAATCGGGGTCGACTAACACCGGAGCGAGTAGCTCAAGTGTTCCAAAATTTCTTGAAAGGAATATACAACACATTGTCGTCCAAATATCAAAACGCAGCCTAAGAAGTTTCACTTCAATAACTTGATTCAAACACTAACTTATTTAATAAATAATAATAATAATAAAATAAAAAATATTGTTTTCAATGTATTTCTGACAGGGGGGTGCAAGTGCACTCCCTTGCACCCTGCTGCCGGCGCACATGCACGAAGTATTTTGAAAGTTATCAACAAAAAACCGATTTTCAGAGGCATCCTTTAGGGGCACGTAACTTTGTAGGGGGGGCCGTAGGAATTTTTTTTTAAAGGAAGTTGTTATGTTATTTTTTTGTGTTCTATCTGAATCCGAGAGATTGCCCACATATTTTGGGACACCCTGTATAATTTTACACAGAATCTCCTATTTTCAATACTCAAGTGTCTGGCAACCCTATTTGACAGTTAACTTGAAGTTAACTTCTTGAATTACATGTAATTTCAGAAGTTAACTTTAAGTTAACTCTTAAGGTTTAAAGTCAACCCCCATTTTCTGAACCTTGTGTTCAAAAATTCCAAAAAAAATATATGTTTTATGGTTATTGATATACTTTATTCCATAATTTTTTTAAGTAAATTTGACTCGCCATTTTTGAGATATATCGCAAAAACCGAAAAAAAAAGTGGTTTTTCTCCAAACGTCAAAAAAACGTCACTTTGTTAACCCCTGTCAAGATGTCAGAAATTTGATTTCTATGCTGCTAGGCACAGCCTCGCTAGGCAAATCCAGCGGGTTAACACCTGTCGAGGTGGTAGAAATTTAATTTCTATGCTGCTAGGCAACCGCAGCGGCAGTAGAAGTACTTTTAGTGCCGCTGGAGCGGCAGCAAAAGTACTTTTAGTGCCGTTGAAAAAAGAAAAAACTTTCCATCGCACAATTTAATCAAATGCAGATTTCTATTTTTTTTTAACTATCAAGTTAGGAGTTAGGGCACACTATAGGGGCGACAGTACTGACATCTCGCGTTGCTGTAATAAACTATATGCCTGACTTTAAACTTTAAAGTAGTTTTATGATACCCGCCCTTAATCATTTTGAAACAATTTGACACTCAACAGCTACGAGATGGCGCCACAATTGAGGAGGATTTACATAGGCCCCAAAATCGAATATAACGTAGTTGGCCTAAATTAAAGCCTGATTACGTTAAAATACATCAAAATTATTATAATTTCGAGATATGATGGCCTCCAAATTATTTCCTAACAATTTGGTTATTTGATGTTACACTCGAACAGTCACCATGAGATGGCGCTAAAGTCGACGCACTTCTCGGGTTTCTATTTTTGGTTATTTAAAATTTAACGATGTTTTTTATTGCTTTAGTTTTGTTCCACTGAATTAAGAATATAGTCTAGAGCCAGAAGTCCTCGTAATTTACCATTTTAAAGTTGCCTTAGTATAAATTTAATTTCAATATTCCAAGGACATTATTTTGATTTTACAGGAGTTGTTTTGTTTTCAGTTCCAGTAATTTTATATGGCTCTTCAGAATGGCAAAACAGCAATGTAAGCAATTTTTGTATTACTATACCTTATACCATAATAATTATTTCTCTGAAATCAATTTTTTGCTGATCCAAAAATATATCGACCTTGAATTTTCCCATTTTTATAAATCGCAGTTTTTGTCCAGTTTTGTCCCGCGCTTTTTGTAGTTTTTAGGTTAGGTTCAACCACCCTCCTTTTTGTTTTGTTATTATTATTAAATAAATTCATTTTTAAGGGATTAGAAATTAGAAAATTCGATCAAATAATCGTAAATACATAAGAGACAAGTAGCAGTAATAAAATATCAACGGTTTAAATCATAATAACCAAATAGGCTTCCTCTAAGAGGTAAGTTGAAATTTTTATAATATAGGTAAAAATGCCCCCCATAGCCTAGAATTTTCTTTTACAGTTGTGCACAATGAACATAATTTCAACAATCTTTCTGTCCATTTTCGTTTGGGTCCAAGGACTCTAAAAATGTTGTTGCCATTTAAAACACTAATAGAATAATGCCAATAATGGAACTAAGACTGAACTCGCCTGTAGGAGGCTCTCCCGCTATCTACAATTGGCCCCTGTGCAAAAAAAAGGGCTACGACGAGGCCAACGAAGTAATCGAAACAATAATTTGGGGCTGCAAAGATATCCCCGACCTAGAAGTGCCTTTGAAAAAAAATATTTTAAAAGATGTTAATAAAAATGACTACGAATCGATGAAAGCTATGACAAAACGATACAATAAGGCTATAAATAATATATTGTCTCTTGAAAAGGGCACTCAAAAGTTTTGTGATAGATTGAATCAATTAGCTGACAAACCACTGCTTCAACACATACTCCAACAAACTTACAGTTTTGCTGTTACAAATGCTGGCAAACTAAATAAATATGAAGCATTTTCACCAGAAGTTTATGGTGAAACTTCCTTTGAACTTGTAGCCCAAATGATTGAACACATAAATCTAAACAAAAACGACTCCTTTATAGATTTAGGTTCTGGAGTTGGACAAGTTGTACTACAAGTAGCAGCTACAAGTATGTGTCACACCTGCATAGGTATTGAACGTGCCGATGTTCCTGCAAATTATGCCAAAGAAATGGAGAGGACCTTTAAATTTTGGATGCAATGGTACGGTAAAAAATATGGCCCATTTCAACTATTAAAAGGCGATTTTTTCGCTGACTGTCACCGCCATAAGTTTTCAGACGCAAACGTAATTTTTGTTAATAATTTCGCATTTGGGCCTGATTTTGACCACGAACTCAAACAAAGATTTGCTGAACTCAAACACGGCACCAAAATAATTTCCTCCAAAAGCTTTTGCGCCTTAAATTTTCGCATTTCTGATAGAAACCTTTGCGACATTGGCACTATAATGAACATTAGTGAGATTCAACCAAATACAAGTTCAGTGTCTTGGACTGACAAACCTGTTTCCTATTATTTGCAAGTAATTGACAGGACCAAGCTTGAGAATTATTTTAATATTAAGAAAAATGGCCCTTTGCCCTTGTCAATTGAAGACCAAGAAAAATCTTGCGATTCATTTGCCACCAATGATAGTAGCGATTCAAGCACTAATATTATTCCTCCACCAAAAAAACGAAAACGCAGAATGAAACAAGATCAGAACAAAAAGCCTATAGCTGAAATACCAAAGAGAAGGTACAAGAGAAAACCAAAAGAAGTTGATAATTCAACTAATGTGAGTTTGCTCAGGCAAACTTTACAAAAAGGGGCCAAAGGTAGTAATTCTCCTCAGCCAAGTCTGACTTGTTTGATGGACGATTTCAAGCAACAATTCGAAGCAATGGTTACAGAAATGTCAAATCCTATGTTCAAAGTTGAAATTAAAAGACAAATCCAGGAAGAACTAATTAAAAGAGAGTACTTAAAACAACAAATTGCAGATGTGAATCAGGAAATCTGTAATGCTTCTAAGAATTTGGATTTTATTATACATGCAGCAACTGCCAAATAATTTCTTTGTACAGGGTATATATAATTAGAACTTGAATTTATTGTTATTTTAAGTTCAATTTTTTTTTATTTTTAAAAGGGAAACTTTTTGTTGTACCTATGAATTGTCAATATAAATTTAGTTGGAAAGGGAGGTTTGAATGAAATTGTATCTACCCTTTCCATTTCTATACTTTATTATTTTGACAATTTTCCACAATTTGAAATTTAATTACACCTTTTGTATAGGTATTTAATATTACTATTTGTTTCTTAAACCTTTATACTTATTATTATTTTCATTGTAATATGAAAAATTAATTTTAACAAAGTTTTCTTACTTGTTTGTTTTGTAATCATTTAATTTTTTTTTTGTTAGCCATTAAGTTTTGAGTCCCATTGTGCAAATATGTACATACATTGTATTTTTTTTTCTTAATAAAGAAATTTTAGCTATTTAGATACAGTTTACGAATTTGTTGATGTTTATTTGAGGTTGTTCAAATTATATTGTAGTTTTTTTTTTGGATAGTACAATATTTTTGGATATCTAGATTTAAGACAAATCTTAAAAACTGCCTGTTTGTTTTCAAGGTTGGTTCCTTTTTTGAAAGTTTAATTATTTTCGTTTTGCGACTTCATGAACTCTATACCTGCTGTATTTACCTGAAGAAAATAATTTGGAATTTGGCAAGAAAACTCAGTAATTAAATGAAAGCAAAAAAGACCTTTCAGAAACAATCCATTAAGATATGGAATGTTCTAGAACTACATTGTTACCATTTTACCTGTATAGGTATAGAGTTCATTGGTCAAACTAGGAATGAAAAAAAAAAAAAATGTATCAACTATCATTTTTTGTTACAAAATTATTTTAAAAATGTTTCATTGAATTTTTGTAATAAAATAAAAATGTATCTGTTATCAGGTGTTTGTTTTTGGTTAAAAGTACCACACACTAAATTTTTTTACAGTGAAATTATTTATGATTTATGAATTACTCCTAAATTGATTTATAAATGATATGAGATAAGATAAAACTGTCCTAATCCTTTAATTTTATGTAAATCCAGACAAATATTTTACAATGGAAGAGAATAAGTCTAATGTATGGGGTGTCCTTAGATAAACTGATACTTTTGCTGGTAAATATATCTAAAGGAGATGCGGTTTGTTCTGGGAGAAGAAGGGTTTTTCAAAGTTTCTTTTCACAGTATTGCCGAATCCTGACATTTGCTTTTACAAACATGCTATTTTTTGAAATAAAAATACTGCCTTATTGTCAATGAAACACTCTGTATATTTTATTATTATTATTTTTTTAATTATCTCGAAATTTCATTTTAAAAATTGGACTTTGTTGTCAAGGTTTCGATTAATTATCGATTTTTTTGTATCTGAGCTTAAATTATCAACTCTACAAATTGGATTTAGAAGGGGAAAGGGATGCCTCAAATGTTAAGCTTTCCTAACATTGGGGATCTAAAAAAACTTAAATGAAAAAATTAAAACACTAGTCGTATTCCTGGACATAAAGGAGGCATATGATCACATGAATATATACAAACTCTACGAGAAAATAGGAAGAATGGGAATTCACCCAACTATTTTAAGAATTGGATTTTTGAAGTACCTACTAAACAATTGGAAATTATTTATTAGGGACAAAAATGGGGAAATGATAGGCCCAAAAAATGTGTCTACGGTGTTAGCACCAGGATCACCACTCAGCCCAATCCTGTTTAATATAAACTCAACCGAAAATGAAGTGGGACACTTCAAAATATTTGGAAAGCTGTAACTTTTGTAATTTCATTCCGATGGTGAATTTTAAACCAATGTTGAGAAGCCCTATTATATCTACTTTTTTCAGTGGTGGCGGATTCGCTTTTGACCGAAACTTTCCTATATACAGGGTCAGTGGCGTATCTACCGGTGTGCCATGTGTGCGAAGCACACAGGTCCGGGCCCGTGAGCTCCATAGCGAAACTGCAAAAAAAAAAACGTAAAAAAATCGAGATTACACCAAGAAAAAAAAGTAGCTACAGAAACTTCAACATACTGAAACAGGAGATCCTTCCAAGACCCAAAATAGGAATTCTAGGCTTCAAAAATTTTTCGCATTTAAAAAATTTTCGGATGGAAAATGCGTCCCTGATGCAATTTTGACGCATTGCTATGACAAAAGTGACAGAATCTCAGACAGAAGTGTCGTAACAATATGGCGGAAGTGGGATACGCTTTTTTCTCCTTATGTCGCCTCCTTATTTATTCTACCTCAATGATTTTTCCTTAATTTTACCTGAATAAGTCAATTTTCTTTGAATTTTTCCTGGAGTGATTTTCCATTGGAAAATTTTGAAATTTTCTTATAATGAGCTCCTGACTTTCCTCTTTTTCCTCTTTTTCCTCTTTTGCCAATTTTCCAGGAAACAATTGAAATGTGAGAGGATGAATTTTCCTTAATTTTACTTGAAAAAGTCATTTTCCAGAATTTTCCCTAGAGTGATTTCTCACTGAAAAATTTCGAAATTTCCCTATAATGAGCTCCTCACTTTCCTCTATTTCCTGGAAAATTTTCAAAATTTTCCCTCTGCCAGTTTTCCAGAAAAAAATTAAAATGTAAGAAGTGAATTTTCCTTAATTTTGCTTAAATAAGTCAATTTTCCAGAATTTTTTATGGAGTGATTTTTCATTTGAAAATTTTAAAATTTTTGCAACATTTTCTGTAATTTTCATAATTTTTCGTAATGTCCATAATTCTCGTAATTTTTCGTTATTCACGTAATTTTTCATAATTTCCATTTTTCGTAAATTCTGTAATTTCCTGTAATATTGAGCAAATTTCCGTAATTTACAAAGAATTCCTGTAATTTTGAATAACTTTGAGTAATTCCTGCATTTTTGGAATAATTCCTGTAGTTCCCCTATTTTTTTGTAATTTCAGAATATTTTTTGAAATTTTGAATTATGTATATAATTCCTATAGTTTTGAATTGATAATTTGAAAAATATAAGAATTGCAAAAATTCCGGAAAATTTTACGAAAATTACAAAAATTGAAATTAGCAGAAATTACAAAAATTTCAAAACTACAAAAAGTTACTAGATTTTTAAAAAATTATGAGAATTATAAAAATTAAAAGAATTAAAAAATTACGAAAATAATTTATTAAAAAATTACAAAAATTGAAAAATATTAGAAACTACGAAAAAATCAAAAAATTACCGAATTTGCGAAGATTCCTCAAAAAATTACGGAAATCACAAAAATTAGGAAAATTATAAAAATTCCATTAAAAAATTACGGAAAATACAGGAAAATATAGAATTAATAAAAATAAATTAAAAAATTATAGAAATTTCAAAAATTACAGGGATCGCGAAAAAATGAAAAAAATCGGAAAAATTGCAAAAATTACGGGAATTTTGAAAAATCACGGGAAATACATTAATTATTGAAAAACTAAGAGGAAAATTAAAAAATTACAAAAAAATCGGGTATTACAAAAGCAATGAAAATAAAAAAAATTGAAAAATACTGGAAATTCAAAAATTATGAAAAATTACAAAAATAATTGAAAAATTACATAAAATACGGAAACTACAAAAAAATAACATAAATCATTAAAATTGCAAATATCATGAAAATTTGAAAAAATTACAGCACTTACAATTATTGAAAAATTAAAATGAGAATTGCAAAATTACGAAAAAAACCGGGAATGGAAATACTTATGTAATGTAAATTATTTTAAAAAATTACGGGAATTTCAAAAACTACGTGAAATTGCAAAAATCATTAGCAAATTACAGAAATTACGAAAAAATTACAAAAATCACGAGGATTACAAAAATCACGGGAATTTCGAAAATTATGTAGAACTGCGAAAATTATGGGTAAATTGCAAAAATTAAATTTGAAAAAAATTAGGAGAATTATAAAATTACGAAAAAAATCACGGGAACTTCAAAAATTATTAAAATTTCGAAAACATTGGAAAATAACGTATAACGGAAAAGTAACAAAAATTACGAGAATTGCAAAAATTACGGAAAATTTAAAAAGTTACGGAAACCACCATTATTAAAAACTAAAAAGCAGAATTATAAAATTTGAGTATTACAAAAGCAATGGAAATTATTGGCAATTTCAAATATTACGTAGAACTACAAAAGTCATTGATAAATTACGTAAATTACAGGAATTATAAAAATGAAAAATAACGAATATTACAAAAAATCACGGAAATTTCAAAAAATACGGGAATTACAATTATTGAAAAATTAGGAGAATTATAAAATTACGAAAAAAAATCATGGAAATTTCAAAAATTATGTAAAATTACGAAAATTATTGGAAAATTACGAAATATGGAAAAATCTTAACAGAAATCACAAAAATTTCAAAAAATCATGGAAATTACATTAATTATTAAAAAAATTGAGAGAAGAATTATAAAATTAGAAAAAAATCGAGTATTACGGAAAACAATGAAAATTATTGAAAAAAATTACGCGAATTTCAAAAATTACGTAGAATTGCAAAAAATTATCGGAAGTTACGTTTTACGAAAAAATAATAAAAATCACGAGAATTTCAAAAATAACGGAAATTTCAAAAACTTACGGGAATTATCATTATTGAAAAATAAAATAAAGAAATTACGGGAATTAAAAAAATAACAGAAATCACGAAAATCATAAAAAATTACGGAAATTAGGAAAATCATAAAAAAAATTAGGACAATTAGAATAATTATAGGAATTGCAAAAATTACGGAAATTACGAAAAATTGAAAAAAAAAAAAAATATCGGAAATAACACAAAAATTAAGGAATTTGTTAATTAACGAAAATTACGAGAATTGAAAAAATTCCAGAAATTACGAAAAATTTCGGGACTACGGAAAATAATTAAATTTTTAAAAAATTATGGAAATTAGAAAAGTTACAAAAAAAAAATAAATCATGGAAATTTATTAACAAATTGCAAAAATCGGAAAAACCTATGATGATTTTCAAAAAGTAAGAAAATAAAAATTACAAGAATCAGGAATTACAATTACAAAAATTATAAAGACCGGAAAATTATAAAATTTCAAAAAACGTCCAAGAAATTTAAAAAATTGAAATTGACAATTGAAAATTGAATTGAAAATTACGAAAACTATCAAAGTTACGAGAATTATAAAAAATTACAGGGATTACGAAAAAGTTACGGGAATTACGAGAATTAGAAATCACAAAGGCTTTCGGGAAATGATTTTGAAAAATGCCCAGAAAAAATACGGAAATTATGGGAATTACCTACTAATTTTTGAAATATACAAAAACGTGGAATTATAAAAATAACGGAATTTTCTGAGAAACTACGGGAATTAAAAAATTACGAAAATTTGAAGAACAACTAACAGGAATTAATAAAAAAATTATAAGAATTATTTGAGAAATAAAAAAATTTCTAAAGAAAAATAACGGAAATTACGAGTCTTCGAAAATTACAAAATTTGCTATAATGAGCTCTTTATTTTCTTTTTCTGGAAAATTTTCACAATTTTCTTGCCAGTTTCCCGGTTGTAAGAGGGTGAATTTTGCCTAAAAAAGTAAGTCAATTTCCCAGAATTTTTCCTGGAGTGATTTTTGACTGGAAATTTTTGAAATTTTTCTATAATGTGCTCCTCACTTTTCTTTTACTTCTGGAAACATTTCATAATTTTCCCTTTGCCAGATTTCTAGAAAAAAATTTAAATGTAAGAGGATGAATTCTCCTTAATTTTGCTGAAAAGTAAGTTTTTCAAAATTTTTCCTGGATTAATTTTTTACTGAAAAATTTTGAAATTTTCGTAAAATGAGCTTCTCATTTTCCTCTTATTCCTGGAAAATTTTTAAAATTTTCTCTTTGCAAGTTTTTTAGAAAAAAATTAAAATGTAAGAGGGTGAATTTTTTTTAATTGCTTAAATAAGTCAATTTTTTAGAACATATTTGAAATT